TAGTGATATTCGTGATCAGAATAGTCGATTTGATATCCTCAGTTACGTTTTAAAAGTGAATTTCGAAAATAATTTTCCCATAACTCTTGAGGGAATATAAAGTGGTCAAAAAGTTGATTGTCATTTCGAACGAAATGAATATGCTTGATTTGTAGCCCATGTGAAACTGGTTATCACCCTGTAGTTATTTCTTAAAAATATTTTGGGACGAAAAGTGGCCTTATCTCCGCTCGTCCTTTTAAGAAAAAAAAGTTGATTAATTTTTCTTGATTTCTTGCAGCAGCAATAATATATTTTATTCAATTCTATTAGTAAATTGATTCATTTATTTCTAATTTAAAAATCGATTACTGTTTCCATTCCGATTGTATTCCTTCCTTATTGACTAACATTCTCTTCTACCGTCATCATTTGAGATCATAGTGTCGATGAGGACATCTTTTCGATAACACCGAAAAATATATTACACTATTACCATTGAATACAACCGAAAGGGATTGGTAGAATATTTTTTGTTCTATTTGTCCTTATTGCACTCTCAATGTAGTATAGAGTAATAGAAATTTGCTTAACAATAAAATGAACGCTATCGACTAATTTATTGCTCATGTCTTGTTGTTAAAATATTATCTTGTTGATCTTTTCTTAATCATTTTAATATCTTTTATTAGATAATGGTAAATATGAATGAAATTCTTCTAGCAGCTGTTCTTGATTCAAGTGTTTCGTCGACATTAGAATCATTCATTGATAGATGCTGTACTAATAATATTGACTTTGCTCGAACTTATGATAAAAATATTTATGATAATCGAGTTATACCTTCTAAACATTTAGCTATAATATGTTGTATGGATGCACGCTTAGATGTGTATCGTATGCTAGGACTACAACCTGGTGAAGCACACATTATTCGAAATGGTACCTAATTTTAACTTATTTTTATTTGATTATATATGAATGATTTTCTTTCTTTTTATTGAAGGTGGTGGTCGTATTCGTGATGCTGTTCGTTCACTTATTTGTAGTCAAGCATTATTTCAAACAAAAGAATTAATGATTATCCATCATACTGATTGTGGTTTCACTTATTTTTCGACCAATAATCAAATATTGGCATCACTCATAGTCAGATTATTCTTAAGTTTAAACATCTATTCCTTTTTTTTTGTCAACAGTCATAATTAGATTATTTCTAAGTCTTAACATCTATTTCTTTTTCTTTTTTTGTCAACAGTCATTATATTTTTATATTTTTGACTTTTCAGGTGCAACCAGGAACACAAAAAAGTAATTTGATTCTCTCTCGACCAGCATATCAAAATAATAAATCTGATTTTATGCCAATTATTGATATCGAACAATCAATTCGTGATGATCTTGCTGAATATAAACAATATCCAATGTTGAATCAGAATATTATCGTACGTGGATTTTTATATGATACGAAAACGGGTTTACTCAAAGAAATTAAATGATTGACACCATATGACTTTTATTGTATTTATATACTAGACGAAATCGACATATAGGACGAATTGAAATAATATTGTTTCTCTGTATTTTGTAAGAAATATTAAAGATTTTCATTTCTTTTATTGGAGAGAATCTTAAACTTCTTCCAACAACAATAAATACATGATTATGTTTGTTTCTTCTTAGGAAAACTTGATATCAACAGTGGTATTATATTGTGCTCTATATGTTAGATGCAACTGGAATTTAACTTTTTGGAATTTATTGGATTCATACAAAACAGTTAAATTTACTTGCTTGATACTATACAACATACTCTATCTGTATCAGGCGTGCACCATAGCTCTGAACAGTCAGCAATTGTCCTAAACTAGATTTGTGATCCTTAGTCTCATCTTTGGTTTTACCCTCGGCTAGATGCTTCGTTTTTGATCTCGCTTTGAGTGAATATGGGTGTATTATGGTGAAGGCGTGAGTCTCGTATAGATGTGGCTATTGGTGTGACTGCGGATATGCATGTAGGAGTTCGGTGTATGTGAAAGTCCTGAAAGCCGGGATATACATATCTTCAATAATTGAAAATTATTCATTATTACCCAATAAAACTACCACGAATTTTCGAATTTTTTACTACTCTTATGAGAGATGTTCTTTCACATCTCACTAACAACCTCATCCCCCAATATTGTAATCCTCGCACGGCTTCTGAGTGAGTATAGTGTATGTTTGTATTTTGGATGTGGGTGCAGATTTTTGCGTGCTTGTGAATATGGGTATGCGTGTGATTCTTCATGTACTGGTGAGTTTGGGAGTGCAGTATATAATGTTGGATGTGGATGTATTTCAGTATGATTGTAGATGTGCAGGTATAAGTTTGATATGTTATTTTGTTGACGAGAAGCAGCACACAAAGGCAGACTCCACACCTACACACTACTTGTAAAAATGACAACATTTTTCTTTAACAAAAGCTTGTTATCCCAGACCCTATGGAATTGAAATGTGGAACTCACACATGTTCTTTAACCTCATTAAACTATTATAAAATGCGTAAAATTAAAAACCTCTCGTAGACTAAAATTGTTTTCTCATATATTTGAGTCATAGAGTACGAATCTGTCTTATTTATTTCTGCATATGAAACAGAATTGTTTTCTTTTCTTTTACGAGCATCCAACTTTTTGTTTGCACTATTGCTATTTGTTCTTTTTTTTAAATTCTTTTTCGTATTTTGTTTTTCTTAATTTAACAGTATTATTATTAAAAAATATTGAATTAAATAACAAATAAGACATTTGTAAATATCTATTATATTTACAGCAGCAGGTCTGAATCTGAACGTACATTTATATATCTCAATCAACTGATAAATACTGTTATTAATTATTTTTCAAAGTTATAACTTGATCGTTTCACGCTTTTTATGTGAATCATAGGACAACTGTGGCAAATCAGTATATAAATTATTATTTGAGCAAAACCAAAAACTACACTTTTTAAAATATTCACAAATTTATTTCAGTCATTTAATCGCGTTGCTAAGAAACTTTGGAAAAGGAGTTTGATGTCAGTTGTCCAAGATTATATGATTCTGTAATGTGGAGGTGGGTGAGTTGCTAAGGTCTGTAATGAGGAGAGAAGAACTGTAAAAATTCAACTTAAAACTTACTCTCACTATTTTCTTCGAAAACATATGTGAGTTTCATAAAATAAGATTTCGAAAAATCAAAGCAATATCTCTCAATTCTGGTAGTATATAACAGTGTTCACAGAAAGTTCATCAAAACATCAATTTCGTACTTATTGCTACTATTAGAGTATGTATTTTATGTACATAGTATTATTAAACGTCGTCATAAATACATGCCGCAGGTTCAGTTTTCTACGACAAATTTGAATATGTCAGTTTCAAAAGTTCAATGAAATGGAAAATTTTCTTAAAACCGATAAAATATATCAGTTTTTTAGCATCAATAAAGTTTTTAGAAAAAAATTGAATTATTTATAATTATCACAAAAATTCGACTTTTTTTCATCAGAAAGCTTTCAAATGAAATTATAACATACATATTCTTACATAGCTTTGGCAAGCTCTCTCTAACACAACATAAAAAAAAACATTGTATTAGTTTTGTATTTTGTATACATTAAAAAAAAAGAAATTTACATTTGTTTTTGATTGGTTATGTGTCTACTTTTTAATTAAGGTTTGGCACATCTGACCGATTTATTTTCGAAAGAAATCGAACAATATAATTTACATATTATTTTTGTGAGGGAGAGACCTTTTGATAGTATAGTAATGCAAAATTTCGGTATATTAATTGTATGCGTAAAAAAAATTCTAATTATCATTTTTTTGTATACGTTGGTGAAACCATGTAACAAATCGTCTACACAGATCGAGAAATATAATCAGATTGTTCTATTCAATATCGCATTTATTCTGTAGCGTATGCACACTCATTGCTAAGTGAATTGGTCACAAGTTGATATTTTCATATAGAATGTAATATTTTATGAAAGATAATGTTGTCCACAAGACGTCAATCATTAAAATCATTCCGCGTCATTAAAGTTCGTTGTCGTCGTCACCATCGATCGTTCAGAAATCATGTGAGCAATTGAAACATGACTTTCTAAACAATAGTCACTTAATAACATTCATTGAATCGATTTATAGCATGGTAAATCATTGAAATCAGATATTCCATCCATCAGTATCACTCGTATAAAAACTCGTCCGTCAAGTAAAATTCGTCCTTTCAATGATGATAAGGTAATGATCTGTTTATAAGATATTGATCAATTACATTAATCTATTATATTTATTCGATACATATATACAGTTTTCATCTATTACAAATACTGATCATCATTTATTCTCACATGAGGAATTAAGTAAACAATCATCTATTCCAACAAGTCCTCTCAATGTAAGTGAACTGTATTGTTAACATAAGATTGTTGCCTAAACTAGAAAAAATAGTGTAATACATTTTAAATTTGTATAGAAAATATGGTCATTTCTCAAAATAATTATATTTACACGTTTGGATACTTTTATAATTGACAGATACAAAATATGAAATCAATTTTTCCTGATATTAATAATGCACTGTAATTGATACACTTTTTGAAAGTGTTGACTTTGTTTTTTTTTCGTTAGATAAGTCGATCGTAAAAAAAAAGTTTAAGCGAAGATCTTTGTGCTTTTTAGTTCAATACTGTGTTACCTATTAAGGATCTTACTCATCTGACGAACCCCAATGAATTCGATTCTAGTCTGTTCAATGATCGAAATGTTAATAAAGTATGTTTTCGTATTCTTTCCATCATTTCTTCTATTTAATTCAAGTAGATCAATTCATATCGAAATCGAACAAGTTCCTTTGTTCACTATGATGAATCATTCAGTCGTACAAAACAACGAAAGAAACAAAAGTATGTTAGCTGATCTCAATTCTTTTATACTTAAAGATTTCTCGTAGAAATCTCGGTACCTATTGCCGTTTTTGTACACCTTTGTGTGTAAGTTGGTCTGTGCTTGCTGTTGCTCTTCTTACCTTTGTAATTGCTGCAATTTTGATTGCTACTTTAATCAAAAACAAATCTTCAACGACAACAGCATCAATAACTGGTGAGCATGAAGTCTTATTATCATAAATTGTCGTATGCTAATTACTTTTAACAAATAGCATTCCTAACTACATCAACGACAAGTTCATCAACTTCTCCGACAAGCTCGTCGACGTCTTCGACAAGCTCATCAACTTCCTCGACAAGCTCATCGAGCTCTTCAACAAGTTCATCGACCTCCTCGACAAGTAAGATAATTCTATACAATGATGAATTAAGCCGTAGTTTTTCATCTAAAATCATTGCGTTAAAAAAATGATTTGTGAATAAATAATGTTTGTTTTCAGGTACGACAACTTTAATGACCTGTGGTTTTTCATGTCTTAATCAAACATGGATTTCATCATCAGATATACTCGCTAAATGGGCATTTGACGGAACATATCTCGACCAAATGAATACTTATACAGCAATCGCAAAGAATACTCCATCTTTTATTTCCAATGGTTATGTAAATCAGGCTCTCTCACTCAATGCAGCTTCTAATCAATATTTATACACTTCATACATTCCTTTAATAAATGCTAGTTTTACAGTTGAACTTTGGCTGTATCCTACTGGATTTCCAAATTCAAAAGATCATGCTATTCTTGGTCTGTGTACAAGTCTATCAAATGATCAATGTCTTCATTTAACTATTCGAAATTCTAATTCCACACATCGTCTCTATATGTCCTTTGCTGGTGACAATTGTGAAAGCAATCAATCTGTGCCACTCAATACATGGACACATGTTGCATTTGTCTTTGATAAGGATACATTTGCTATGTCAATCTATTTGAATGGAAATCTTGTTGGACATGCCATATCAGCATTACCACTCCAAGGTATTGAAAACAATGTTACAATAGGTTATATACCAGGAATTGTTGCAGCTTATGGCAGTAATTTTTTTCAGGTGAATTTTTTTCGTTTTATTTTTTGATGTGTTTTCTAAGTGAAAAGGCAAGTTTTTTCTTTATCACCTAGGGTTACATTGATCAACTAACAATTGTCCATCGGGCAAAACCAGTCTGTGAAATACTTGATGATGCTACATTGGCGACGTATTATAATTTTGACAATAGTCCTGTTCTGAACGATTCTGGACCAAATTCTCTGCTAAGTACTTCACAATATGTCTCTTTTACATCATCTGGTCATTCCTCTAAAGCTATTTCTTTTAATAATTCAACATCATATTTACAAATAGGTGGTCTTACTGGACTTGGTATTAGCAATAAAGCTTTCTCAATTTCTCTATGGATTCGACCTTATTCATTGTCAGGAACAATCGTTTTTGTTTCAAGTACTGCAGCAGGCTCTGGTTGGTGCTTCTCGTTTATAGGCTTCGCCACTAATGGTTCCATAGTGGCTCAATCAT